GCTACTCCACGTTTTTATTGAAAAAACGCAAACGAAGTTAACTGAGAGAAAAACCAACGAGTAAAATTATTCGAGGGTAAGTTACTCAGGTGTAATATGGTATTTGGTCGAAACCACCCTTAATACCATATTTTTAATAATATGGTATTTTTAATGTCATTTTGTCCCGTCACGGTTCTTTGAACGATGTCCTCAGAAAAGGTCGTGTCTTTATAAATGTTCCCTCGGTTTTAGAGCTTTGTAGAATATTTAGAGACGATGACAGGAGATCCAACGGTATGACTTTGGATGCTTGGGAGAGAGATAAAGCTTTAGTGTGGGATACTACTTGCAAAGACACTTTGGCAGCCCGTCATCTCAGTGTTACCTCGTTTGAAGCAGAGGCGACATCATAGGCAACTGAACTAAGTGAGTAGCCCAAATATGAGTATCTGAGAGATAAGTAGGTACATATTTATGCCACTTGATGTAGAGGCTATCCATCCGTGAGATCCACATGCAGTGAATTTCCTTAAAAAACTATCGGTGACTTATAGCCAGTCAGATAGTTTTTTAGTGCATTTTGGCTGCTTATTTTCTCGCTCAAAGGCTAAGTATAGCCATTCATAGAGGAAACGCAGCCACCATTCTTGGCACTATACAGCGGGAAGTAAGACTGTATGATAATTTCAGTTTTTAGTTTTTATTTAGTATAGTTTTTTAATATTGTAATTTGAATTTCGAAAATGAAGTTGTTAATAACTGATAACTAAGTAATTGAAAGTTTACATCTTCTAGATGGTACCCGGCACACGTCTTTTCATTTAATGTGATAACTTTATCGTCACCCGGTATATGTTAGTTTATATGAGTTTTCACTATAGCCAGAAACTATACCTTAACCTTTAATAATAATAATATAATTTATTTAGTTCTAAACATAAACACAAATTAACATAGCAAAATAAATTAATGGAATGGAACTAAAATGGCGTCTACTCAGCACAAATGTTACAGAAACCACAAAGTGATAACTATAACGCTGATTTTCAGTAAACGCCAGAGACATAGGTGCAATAAAATAAACTTAGCTAATCACAGGCTCCAACATAAAAATAAAAATACACTCTTATAAATATTACAAATAATAGTAAAAAAAAATGTTAACGTTTAGGGAAAAAAAGGCACAATAATAATAAGCCAACGCAACAAAAAACGTAACAAAAGGCATATGCAAGGCACAAGGCACACAATTAAATTATTTAAAAAGATGCAAAAGTAAAATAAATGGAGAATTAAGCAAGTATTTTAATAATATAAACGCAGTATACTTCATAAGAAAGGTGTGATACATCGACACAGAATTATACTAACTTTGCAAATTTAAAAGATATTCTTTTAGTTTCACTTTAAAAGTGCGAACTGTCCTGCTGCTTTTGATCGGAGGTGGTATATTATTCCAACACTTTGTGGCAGCATACCAAAAGCTACCACGAAACGCAGCCGTTCTGTGTCTTGGGTAAAACAAGCGAACAGTTTCCCCTGAGGAACGTTGCTAGAAACTGAGCTTCTCATATAAGTATTTCGGTTGTTGATTTTGTAATATTTTATACAGTAAACAACGTAGTGAACCGATCTACGAGATTTCATGTTAATAAGTTTGCTCTGATTTAAAAACGGTGTCACGTGACCTCTACGAGGGATTCGAAAACAGAACCTAGCGCATGCATTTTGTACTCGTTGTATAACGAGTTTGGTTCGCGCAAGCAAACACTCTCCCATGACAATATCAGCATAATTTAGCTTCGAGAGTATAAGTGACTCACAAAGTTGAACTCTCAATTCTTCACTAAGGTATTGCCGAATATTATATAATATTTTTAATCTGTAAAAACAATTTTTACTGTATGGGTAACATGATTTTCAAACCTTAGTCTACTATCCATAATTTTACCTTAAGTTACGAACTTCAGATATCTGTTCAATATAGTTGCCACCAACAACAATTTTAGGCTTATGAGCATTCGTTCGTTCTATTAATTTCTTTGACCCCAAAATTATGAACTTGGTTTTATTCGAATTTAAGATGAGTTCATTATTATTCGCCCATTCAGCGATCATGCTTAAATCCTGGTTTAGTTTGTTAACTGCCTCATTTGTATCATCTGGCCTAAATGATATGTAGACTTGAAGGTCGTCGGCATATAAATGATACTGGCAATATTTAAAACAGCCCGTAATATCGGCACTGTAGAGAATAAACAGTAAAGGGCCTAGAATAGACCCTTGTGGAACGCCACGGGTAACAGGAGACGCAACAGAAAAAATGTTGGTACCAGTTTCATTTCGAAGTCTGACTCGCTGTTTACGACCATTTAAATAACTTTCAAACCACTTTAATGCGTTACAGTCAAAACCATAATACATCAACTTCGACAGAAGTAAAGTAGTATCTATTGTATCAAATGCACGCGAAAAGTCCAGCAGTGTCAAAATTGTAGCCTCTCCTTTATCCTGCGCTGTTAAAATATCATCGACCACACTCAATAGCGCTGTAACCGTGCATAGTCCAGCCCTAAAACCTGATTGTTTTAGAGGTAAAATATTATTCTGGTTTAGATATTCCATTAATTGCATATAAACCACCTTTTCAGCGATTTTAGATAAAAGAGGCAGTATACTTATAGGTCGAAGATGATTTAGTTCTACAGAATGATTATTTTTTGGTATTGGACTTATTACTGCTTCCTTCCAGATGTCTGGGAAAACTCCTGTCCGTATCGATGTATTAATAATGGTGGTTACTCAAAGTCCGTGGCAAAGTTAAGAGAACCATATCTTTAGTAACACCATCTACACTCATAGCATTTGTGGTAATATTTTTTTAAATTTCTGATACCAAGTATTCATCCACTAATTATAAAGTAAAAACCGACGAATTGAAACGGTTAGATTCAAAATAGCATAATGTTGAAGGACTTACACTATTGCTTCCTGGTATGTGTAGAAAATGACGATTTATGATGTCAGGATCATTGAAGTTTGATGGCAAATCAATATCTTTATTTTTGAAGTCTACCACATTTTTCTTTATATTTCTCCAAAGTACTTGAGGGTTTTTTGAATTGTTATTAATAAAGTAACGAAAGTAGGCTGTTTTTTCACTCAGTATAGCAGCATTAACAGTACTCTTCAGATCTTTATAATATTTTTTGTCACCTTTGGAATTAATGCCTTTACATTTTGCGTGAGCTTTATCTCTTAGCTTCATCATTTCCTTAATTGTTGGTGTAATCCACGGTTAGCTGTGGCGTTTATGTAAGACGTTCTTATTGGTGCATGAATATCAAAAATATACAATATATACGAATTAAAAGCCGTTACAGAACTGTTTACGTCATCACAAAGCAACTCTTCCCACAGTACAGCATCAACATCAGAATTAAATTTTGGTACTAATTAAATAATAATTAATAAAAAAGCGTGATGACTGAGATCTGGCACATAGCCAATCTGTATATTAAATACATCACAGCTACTGCAAATGAAATCAAGTAAAGTTTCCGAGTGATCAGTAAAATGAGTAGCTTGTGTGACGTACTGCCTCAGACCCATACACAGAAGAAAATCATTGAGCTTTTTTGAATTTGGATCTGAAGGTGCAAGCAAATTAATATTGAAATCTCCTAACAAAACAATGTAGTCATACGCTGAAAATGAACTGACTGTATCAGATAGATTATTTATAAAATTATCAATGTGAAACCAAGGAGGACGATATGCGGTACCTATTGCAAGTTTCAAACCATTAGCTTTAACACTTAACCACATCTGTTCAATAGAGAGCGTACTCGGATGTTCCAGGACGCGAGCGTGGATACCATTTCTAATGTAAAAACCCACACCTCCGCGTGCTCGGATGCTTGCAGGACGAGGTTTGTGACGCAGCTTGTATCCTGGGGGGGAAGGTGCGCGCAGTTCCTCACCTGGCTTCAACCACGTTTCATTTATCGCCATAATATCTACCGCATGACCATCAAAGGAAACCAAAAATTCATCATGACGTGTACATAAAGAACCCGGATTCAGAAAGCCAAGAGATAATTTTTTTTTTCTTTGAAATCGTGCTGCTTTTCTCTATATTCATAAAAAATATAGGTACTTATAAAAACAATAAAAATCAAACTTCGTATTATTATTTTAATAACTTTACAGAGCAGTAATAAAGTAAACATTTTTACGTAACTTTAAAAATATGTAAAATATGTTCAATACAATAATCGTGTACTTAAAATTAATATGCATGGCAGTCTCTAATTCTTTTGGTCTAATCGTAACAAAAAGATATAATCTAATATTGTAATGCAAAAAAAGAACTTGTAAAGCTACTATTATCTTACGTAACTTAACCAACTTACCTTTTTTACGTGTACGTCTTCGCTTGCGAATTAAAATGCAGATATACGTTAACAGTCGTGATGACTAAGATAGAATGCCTCTTTTCCAGTAAAATAGGTCTCCGGTTCTCTACACTCACCATACGAAACACAGCAGCATTAAGCTGCTATTTTACGCTGGTATTCTGTGAGAGCGTGGTCCTTCCACGGTCGAGCCGACCCATTCGTGCTACCACTATAAGTACTATTAATATAGCTGCAGCATGGTTCTAGAAGGTATAAAATGGCTTCATCCACTTAGAGAGGATTGGCTCCCGTGGGTATCGTAAGGGGCGACAGAGGGAACTGAATCCTAACCGAACACTTTAACGAAAGCATTTATTGCCATTTCTTTCATTAATAATATGTACCCTCTCCAAATTCGAAGTCGTGTCCCGTATAAGATATTTTAATTTGTTTCTTACTTACATAACAAGATAATAACTATTATCTAAGTACATAAAGCTGATTTATTAAATTTAAAACGTATTTTGAATTATATAAAATGAGACTTTATATTATTAATGACAATTTCAATTATAATGGTACATCCGTGTTAGTTTTTTTTTTAGTATAATAGCCATTTTATAATTTATTTTTAGCGTTACCCTTTAACAAATCCAACCCCATACTAATGGCATCCATAGCTGTACCGGGAGAACACATCACACCGTATCCTCCGTGCCCATAGCAGTGGACTACCTTCACGCCATTGATGAGCTCAGGTTCGACGCGTACGGGAACTCTGTGAGGCCGCAGCCCAACTTTATGTGCAACAATTTCCGCTTTTTTCAGCGCTGGCAACATATCGCAACATCGCTCCATTATGGCGGCGGCATCATATTTACACACGTTCAAGTTGTAGCTGTCGTACTGTCTTACACCGCCCAATGTTGCGATGCCATCAAACCCGGGAATAATATATGTGTCATAATCACCATAAAAAGCAGTTTTTAACCAAGGTGCCCTAACTTTAATAACCTGTCCGCGCATCGGAACTAAGCTGTGATCATTACACAAAAATTTTGCGCCAATACCTGTACAGTTAAAAACTAAATCGTATTTCTCAGGTAGCGATGCGAAGCTTTCAATTTTGCCGACAACAATTTTTCCACCTTTTTCGATAAATTTTCGTTCCATCCACGGTAAATATCTTTCACATCCGATTTTAACTGTTGAAAAATACGACCCGTATTTCCATCCATCACCGCAAAGTGCAAGTTCATTCTTATCTACAGCTCTATAAATGGGCACCAAATCTTCAATCAGATGATTTCTAGTTACGTTATAATGAGTTTTAGAAAATATGTAACTAGAGAACGCCATAAGACCCGCTTGGGGTGCTTCTGAGGACTTCAGAATTTCTTGCCAATAATACCAAGAGTTATTGATCCATTTTTTGGTGGCTTTATCTGTGGGACCCATAAAACTAGTCCCTGGTCTAAAAATACCAGCAGCGACAGCACTAGTCGTATCATCTTTAAAAGAGTCTGCAATAATAGTTATATTACAATGCCGAAGTTCATCTTGTAACAACTTAGCCACAGTCATTCCAACCACACCCGCCCCAAGGACTGCGATGTTTGGTGTATCAGCCATTACCTTAAACAAGGAATTGCGGTTACAATACTATGCGTTAATGACAGAAAAGCAGTATAGTAGCCATATATGTCATCTAGGCATAACATAATTAATCAGCAAAGAAAACCTACTTTGAAGTTGTTTTATGGTATTGGAGTGACAAACGAACGCACAGCCCAACATCTATACGTATCCTCGATTAAGAATCAAAATGCTGATGCGTTGTCATCCATGAGCACTAAGATGTAATGCCTCGCACACCATACGAAATACCGCAGCAGCTACTATGCCACACTGGTATTCTGTGAGAGCTTGGTCTTTCCTCGGTTGAGCCGACCCATTCGTGCTACATCCATAATATAGCTGCAGCGTGGCTCTACCGTGTACAAAATTGATTGATCATTCAAATCATCAATTCATCATCATGTGGTTGTTCGTTTTAATTTTTACGCTTTTAAAATGGAGTTTTTATGAAATGATATTATCTTTGATCTTATTGTATAATTTATAATTAGACTTGTTATAAAAGCTAAGACTTCTTTTAAAAATTTTACTCACAATTTTTTTACCGCTAAAAGAAATTTGACGCTCTATTAGATGAGCAGAAAATGAAATAGGTCCTAAATTAACGCCTAATTAACGCTCGACGGCTCCGTGGCGCAGTGGCTTAGCAATGAGTTGCTGCGCTGGGGGCCGCGGGTTCGAATCCCGCACGGAACAAGTATTTGTATGACCTACAAATAATTGTTCCGGTACTGGATGCTTGTCCTTGTGCAATTTGTGTTTGTAAACTGCCTCCACGATACAGGAGAAAATCCTAGTGTTTTCTAAAAAAAAAAATTATGACGCTGCCGACCATAAATTGCCAGTTAAAAAGTCATAAGTTTGAATTCAGTAATAAGTGTAATCCATGTTTGCCCTTTCCGCTAAATGTTTTCCTTTATTAAATGGGCTTTATAAAACACATCTTGTTGTGAACTAAAATAAAAGTACAGTTTCTAAGTAAAATAAATAATATAATTATATTACGCATGCCATAGTTGTGGATACCGACTGGTAGACATTATTTGATAGATCGGATTTTAAAAAAAATACGTGAATGTCGTGTAACACTCGGTGGGAACCAAGTTCCTTTCATAGTATATTATAATTAATAAACGTATTATATTATTGATCAACAAATATAAATAAATTAACTACTAGCGTCTATTAAAATGAAGCGTCATTTAAAATAATATTTTTATGGCAAGATAAGAGAAAGTGCGAGGTAAATGGATATTATTCCATCTCGCTCGCGCGAAAGGGTCGTGACGGAAAAATCTAACACTTTTTCTCGCTTAGCCCCCATCCGCCAAATTCTTACAGTGTGATAAGACACTTCATTCCAAAAAAAAACGTACACTTTGAGATACTGGCAATGTATGAGTAACAATTTTAGTATATTTTAAGCAAAATTTTTGACTCTATTATCGGCAAAATTAACTATGCAGGTAATTGGTGCATATAAATTTAATAATTTTATACATACGTACGTTAAAATTATAAGTTATTTTCCAGTTGTATCATCGTTGCCTGCATTGTAATCATTGTTAGTTGTGATAATTGCCGTATATAAAAAGGTTCTAAAAATACCAGTACAGGACCTTTAATGAGCTTGAAAATAAAAACGTAACAACAATAAATCTACTTACACTTTGTAACTCGTCAATCAATACCTAAATGTTTACAATTTAACCTCGTAAATACAGTAACTACAAAAAATGTATGATATCACTGCTGGTGCAGCGTGACATAACACAACGCTACGCTCCTCTTGACACCAAACCACTCAATAATCCTTTATTTTGACTAAAGAACAAATCAAGATATAAATGACACATAATAAATAAAAATAAACCTGCGTAACAACTAATGTCACATTGATAAAAAGATGACCCCATTTTATCAATGTGGCAACAAATATGTTGAAACTGCATTAATGCAATTACTTACATTATGATATGAACGTGTTTACATATTAAATGTTTGATTATTTTAGTAGAACTTGGCCAAAACAATTAGGCGCATGACAGGAATGCGGTTTCAGCGTCCGCACCCTGCTTCTATCCCCGCCACAGAGTACTTTTATATATACTGAAAATCCCCGCGCTTCTAGTGACCAATCACCGTTCCAGTGTTCCCTCCCTAGTTCTAATGTCGTCTTAGCTGTCATGCGCTTATTGTTTTGCTCACGTAGTAAATACATTATTCTTGCCAATCCACGACCTCAGTGATAATTGGCGAAACATTTTTTATTACAATTGTACATTTAAAGTTGGTGGGATTAGTGCCCAGTGGCAATGGGCCGGCCATATAACCGCAAGAACCAACAACCGATGAAAGTTTCTCAGACGTATCGGTAAGCGAAGGGTTGCCTGGTAAGAAGTGCAGAAACACGAGGAATGCAAGTGGCTCAGGACCGTGTTTTGTGGCAAGCCTTTGGAAAGGCGTAAATTCAGCAATGTACCTACTTGCGATGACTTTCTGGTCGATTTGGATACCTTCTTGTTAAAAACTTGATTTACTCTAAACTGCCACTAAATATGGTCTGCCAGTTGAAGAGAAATCGAAGACCTACTAGTGATGGATCAACTCGACTTACTAATTCGAATTAACTTGAATTGTGTTCAGTGTTCAGTTCGAGTAAACTTGAGTCGGTTACTCTCGGTCCCACCGCTGGACACACACTCCTCTCATTTATAAAATTATTTTTAGAGGAGGGAACACGTTTATCAAATGCGTATTGGCGCTTTTCACAAATTCTCTAAATATTTATAATTTCTTAGTCATGCTTCACGGTGTTGGCCTTACCGCAAAGCACGGTAAATCAGCATTAAAAGTTAAAGTAGATGCCGATGAGGAACGAACTCAGTTTGTTCTCGTCTTGTATAAATTATGTCTGTGATTCGCGTACTATTAATAAATAGCTCTTTTCCACCAAGCTAAAACAACATGACCGCGGTCCTCATAGACATCAGATATAAAGTGAAAAAATCACAAATCATCAACAAAACTGATAATCTAATTCATTTCAGACAGTGGTCAGCGTTTTATATGCGATAATTATCTACAAGTAACTAAATTATCACTCAACACTTTTTATAATAGCAGACAAGTGGTAAAATTAAAAATTTTGAACAACCGACTTCAATATAAATAAAATGAGAACATCATCAATATAGTCGAAGTCAATTAAATACGCATTATTAAGGATAACTCAAAAACTATTGATCAGATCTTGATCTTTATATGGGACCACATGAGAAGTGTCAGCTTTCAAATATAAAACATCATCAAAATCGGTTCACCTAGAAAAAAGTTCTGAGGTAACACACATAAAAAAAATCAGTCGAATTGAGTACCTCCTCCTTTCTTGAAGTCGGTTAAAACGAGCCTGTCAGCAATATTTCGTCTTAAAGCTTCTTTTGCTGTTAAGGAATCTACAGTTTAAGAATTTGGATAAATGTCATACTCTTTCTATTTTGCAATTAATCAACGATACCATAGCATTAAAATACTCTACAATGGGAGGGGTTCAGCTGCAGTAGGTATACTTTACGGACTGTGGAAAAGAACATATAAAAGAAAATATATTAACAAACAATAAGGTTTCCTTCCCTCAATCTCTTATGACCGATACGGCATCCTGTTCTTTGTTTTGGATAGCGTTCAGTAAACAAACCCTAAAAATAAATTACTTTAAATTTCACACACAATATTCAAACAGCAAAATTCAAATGAAAACGTAACATTAACCTTTTTTATTTTATTTTCAGAGCCCCGACCACTGCGTAAGAATTACAACCAGCTTTCATCAAATGAGAAATTCAACAACAGACCATCAGAAGATATACATATCGAAGAAGCCGAAGTAGACTCTGATGCGAGTAGCACTGACTTGGATGAACGAGACACGCGCGGCGTGTGCCCGCCCTGTGCGCATGACCGATACAATAATAACGTACGTCGACATGCACACGACGACTTCAGTGACGACACTGATTACGGTACGCATTTAGAATAAAGTTATTTATCATTTCTATATATTCATAATATATTAATTTCCAAGTTCATAGCAGAAGCACAGAGTAAATAATGATACTACGTAGCAGAAGTCAGACACAGACACAAGTACAGAAGTAAACCATATTTTCACGTGTATGCATGGCTATTTATATATTGTGATATTTAATCCAAAAGCGACATTGAAATGTATTAATTTTCATAGTCAAAAAAATAATTGATAAAATAATAATATATACATATTATTATCCTTGATGTTAAATCGGTTACAGACTGGTACAGTGATGCATACGATCACTAATCTACCAGTCTACCATGCCAGTTTGTAGTGATTGTATCATAACCTTCCGCCATTGAATATTTTTAGCAAATTTTTGTATATATTCAGAATTTCTTGCTAGCATTTTTATATTCACAAAGGCAACTTAGAGGGACTTTTGGGAACTTAACCTCCTTCAGATTATTCCTTTATTTATTTGTAACGTAAAAGTAATGCGATTTTTTGATTATTAAGTGTCTACGCACGTGAAGTATTAGTGGAAATGACGAAACAAGTGCTCCGATGTTGATATAAATCTCAAATATTATATTGTCGTGATCGACTGTCTGCTGGCTTAAGCTGCCGATTAAATCTCGAAAAAAATATGCAATGTGATACATCAGCATATTGTGTGGAAGTTTTTGAACAATTTATGAATGATAATTTCCTATTACTTCACACTGGCAAAAGTATATGTGTCCATTACCATATAAGGGCTGACAAACGTCATATTAACTGTCAGATTTCAACTGTCATTCTTCAAGTGTGATGAAGAGATGGAAAGAAGAAAAATAAGACCTGGTTCCGGCCTTTACACTTTAAAATTCTATATATTCAAAATAAAAAAGACAAGGCTGTATGGCTTAGTTCCTTTGCCTGCTCTCCAGTGATTAAAAAAAACAAACACATCAAGTGTGATGCAAATGTTATTGTGATTGTGTGTCACATTTTTTGTTTTTATCTTCAATGTATAGTTTTTTCAGAGTCATATCATATTACTTATGAACTATAACATTTCTATAATTGTGTTGATTGTAAACAAAGAAAAGAGAAACGTTTAGATAATCGTAACAATGGCAAATTTAAAATCCGATTTGGATGACTACTTGTTGCAAAACGAGAACCGAAGAAGTTACAAATTTGGATTACCGTCATTCTCAACGCCAAGTTTCTTGTCTCGAAGCAACGATGAATCTCCAACTAGTACTAGTTCCACGAGTACCTGGTTTCAGAGTGTCCAAAAGGAATATTTTACTTTGGTAAGCCTCACAACATTACTTAATTGACTGTTTGTTTTGTTTCGAGAAGTAGAATATAATAGAGGGAGAGGAGAGATAGTGAAAGGATTAAATGTTGTATTCACTCGGTTACAATCACAATGTTTATCTGTTGTTATAGTAAATATGGAATTAATGGAATTAATATAAAATTGTTACAATAAACGGAAAATGCTTAACACTTCAATAACAATTTCTTTTCAGAGTCGGACACAAAGATTCTTGGGCTTTGGTATTTGCTTGTGCCTTGGTATATTATGCTTTATTCTTTCATTCCTATATATACCACTTTTATTACTAAAAGCCAGAAAATTTGCATTACTATTTACTCTAGGGAGTTTGTTCTTAATTTTCAGGTATGTTTTATTATTAATTATTTTCTTGCATTGTTCATTAAAAATTATATTTAATATTAAAGCTATAGTAGACGCCCAGTAATTCGGCCCCTAGCTGAGTTATTTTGATTACAAGTTACTCTTTTTCAAAAAGTTATGGACTACCAAGGGCTGTGGCAGTACTCTATAGTACGACAAATTTGACAATCTGACACCACCTTGCAAAATGTTTGGCGAATTATCGTGGTTCAACTTTATTAGAAGTTTCCTTTAATATTAAAAAATTCTAACTAGATTTTTGGAGATTCTTAGCACCACTATAGCAGGAGTAATGGGGCCGCCAGGGACTGGAGGCCGTCTTTTTGTAACTCTCATCATTGAGGTTATATTGTCATAATTGCCACACGAGCAGGTTGGCAACCACAGTTTTTTTAATTGTTATTTGTTGTTATCAGAAAGATGCTGCTGCCCATCTACTTTCTCAGTTTCCCTTTGTCGCAGTGGGTATTCTTATGCGCCACTACACAGGGACCATGCTCACACAGAATACTAGTGTAAAATAGCAGCTTAATGCTGCTGTGTTTTGTATGGGTAGTGTAGAAAACCAGTGACCCTTTTTACTGGAAACGGCATTTCATCTTGGTCCTCGGGGATGACAGACATTTTCATTTTGATTCTTAATTGAGGATAGATGTAGATGACTATAGACCACAGCATCTACAAGTGGAATGTGTGCTTGTTTCTCACACTTATTCTATAATAATTTACATTTACCTTTACTAATATTGATACTAATAACTAATGCTATGTATTTGTTACAGTTTTAGCTTCCTTTATGGACCATGGTCTCACTTCAAGTCGTTATTCTCCAAGGAGAAAGCCCTGACAACTTCCTTATATAGCTTTACACTAATAGCAACACTTTATTGTGCTTTGCACTTACAAAGCACTCCGCTGACAATAGTCTGTGCAGTGGGACAAGTCTTAGCACTCTTGTGGATGATGATGGGCTCAATACCTGGTGGCTCTTCGGGGATGAGGTTCTTCGGCAATATGTTCAAGTCATCAGTGTCTAATACATTGCCAATATAACGAACAATGAATAACAGTGAAGAATTTTGGATTATGTTTATTAAAAGGAGGTTTCTACATTAAGACAATAAAATTGAAATTATTTAATAAATTTATCTTCAGTATAAATATGATGTAAAAGTTATCAAAGTAAAGTTCTACATATATTATACATTATACCACAGCTTCGTACTGGCCTCCTATCCATTTACATGTGTTAGAGCCACGCTGCAGCAATATTGTGGTTGTAGCTTGAACAGGTCGGCTCAACCGGCGATGGACCATGCTCACACAGAATACCAGCGTAAAATAGCAGTACAATGTTGGTGTGTTTCATATTGTATGAGTGTCGAAACGAAAACGAGGCATTCCACTTTAGTACTCGGGGGTGACAACACATCTGCATTTTTTATTCTTAATTAAGGGTAGACGTAGATGTCTTTGGGTACAGCATCCACTTACCATCAAGTGCTCGTTTGTCATCCTTTTTGTATAAAAAATATCTGAGTGTTATGGAGCAATTAGTGTAACGCGCTTCAGTGCGCGTTCACGGACTTTGCACAGCATGTCTGATATATCTTGAGGAATGAAGAATCTACATGTTTGAGGAATACCTCAGACATGCAGATTTCCTTGCGATGCTTTTCCTTCACGTCCGAGAACACGGTAAATCAACGCTTAAAATTCCAATTAACACGTTCATGCACACACTTCAATATAGTAGCTCTATGTGATTTTGCACATAATTTTTTCATACAAACTAAAGCGACGTCTAATGACGCTGTGCAATAACTGATAATGTTAGTATTGAAATATATTGCGCTGACGTCCTAAGACGTCACTACATTTTCTTTTATAAGAGTCAAAAATGCTTTCATAACTAGAATACTCTGAATCGTCTGTGGTATTATAAGAATTTTCTGATGCAGAATCCGATGTAGATTTAACAACAGAACCGGATCGTAAATTGGAACAAGTACTCTTTTTGACATGCAATAATGACTTTTTGCGCTGTTTGCCCCGCTCAAACTGCGAAACGCCTATGTCGCAGGAGCTGTTGTCATCATTATCACCAATTGGGCCGTAATCAGCATCTGATCCAAACTCTCCATCGTTAACAAAAGGGACTGGTGTGCTTTCCCGGGATGAAGAAAGCTCATAGATTTTCATTGAAGATTCCTTCTTTTTTGGCTCATTTTATATATCTAAAACAAACAAAAAAAATACAAAATATGTATTTTGAACATATTCAGACTTATTACAATAAAGTGAAATGTATTTATATAATATATATATATCGTAGTAAGATAATAAAATACTTACGTTTAGCGTCAATATTCCATGTGAACATAACATTGGAAACGCACTAGCCCCGCGACGCGCACAATTCAACTGATGTAATGAAACTTCTTTTGCGAAACGACGTATAGTGACGTTGTGCGCTAACAAAGTGGGTACTTAGTATCAGGGAGGAACGCCATCTATGAAGCCAAAAAAATCGGTGCGATGTGGCACTACAATTTTGAGAATTCGATATGTTGTGGCACAGTAACCCAACTTTAAAACATTAATGTGGCCAGACACCGTACCATAACGTTGTGCTCAATAAATCGAGCTATTGCTGAACGTAATTATACGTTGTGCCACATCATATCTACAGATATGTGACGTACATATACGTTGTTCGCATGAACATGTTAACAATTTACCCGGGTTCGATCCTCGCCTATAACCCATTCGAACCCGGGTTGCCGGATTATTGTAAAATTACGGCAAACACTGCATGTGAGCTACCACATTAATAAGGCTGATATGTACTTGTGAAAAAAGATAAACCAACAAATCTGAGCACCGGCCTGTCTCTCCAACAGCTATGCATAAATGCACAATCACTATTTGAAAAATATCGTCAAACAATTATCCTATTACTTATGCTACTACTTATCCACTAGCGGAATCCTGTATATAACTAGTGATCGAGCCCGGCTTCGCACGGGTAATTTCTGAATATCGACAACAAACATATGTATTAGTTATTTTGTAATAGCGTTCTCGATTTCGATTAAATTTACAATGTGGCTGCAAAACCTTACCGGGGCGAAAATTCGATCTAGCTAGGTCTCATTTTTCTGAAAAAATTCCCTTTCTCGGTGTTTTCACGCACAAACAACAAACTCGAATTGCCCGCGAAATATAATTGGTAATTTCGCCACAGAGATCATCTTAAGCTTAATAGCTAGAGCGTAAATCTACGAGTGTCACGCCGGAATGCACAAATTCGAATCGTGCAATATGGTAATTTTTTTATTTTTTGTTCTTCAGTATTCTAGCCCACACTGGGCAAACTAAATTATTTTAGACTAATAATTTTTTTTTACTTATTTATAAGCTAGTGGTTGACCACAATCGCACCTGGTGGTAAGTAGTGGTAAATCACACTGTCTTAGAGTCTATTCACTAGTCCCTGACGCCCAGTTTGAATTCAGACACTATTTTTTACAGAAAATCATTGTTTTATCAATATTCACTTAAACCAAAATATTATTTAAAAGATATGTATAAATAATAGGTAATTTTTCACAAGGGTTTCTAGTTAGGTGTTGGTTAAAAAAAACAAAAACATAAACTTATAAAAGTTCGCTGCTAAACAGAGGGCCCTCCGAAGGTATAGCACAAAAAAAGATTACATAGGTGTAGGGATTATTTTTCCTACGGGAAAATAAAAATAGCGGTGGGTTAGTGAATATGAACGCGTTCCTATCTTCACACTAGCGGGACTACAGGCAGAAGACAGTAAATTATGATCGATGAATGTCTATACATTTATTTACACTAGGTTCACATACATAATAATTTTAAAAAAACTTGCTCAAAATTGTTGAACCAAATTGGAGAGTACCTGAATAAATTAAATCTTCGAAACCATGAACGTACACTTATTTACAAATATTATAAAGTGACTTTGATATCACTTTTTAAACAAAATAAAAGATTTATAATATAGTTTATTAGAAATAACTGTTGTGTTCCCTTTTATCTAAAATACCATAATATTTTGTAAAAATAAATTTTTAATTTTATATTATACCTATTCAAGGGAAAAGAAAATCTTTAGAGCTGTTATGTAAATACTATTTAATTACTTACTATTTTGTACTATATTTTATTGTATAATATAATAAATAACTAAGACCCGTAATAGAAGTTTGTTTTATTTTACAAATAAAAACCATTAACCTGTAAAAAATTAAATTAAATAAAACTTCGATACAAAATCTTGCCCGATCGTATTTTCCGATATTCGAATTTTTTTTCGATATTCCGATTCGAGATTCCGAACGCAGCAAGTTCATATAAAATCTATGACCCGCCACACACGTACGTTATTTTTCCGTACGGAATTTCTCCGATTCGAGATTCCGTATGACCGCCTGTGCGTTCGGGATCCCGAACGGAAAAAAGCCGCTCCAAACGCACGGCTTCCATAGATTTTGTACGAGTCGCAACAAACATACGTAAATTCCGTACGGAATGCGCTCAGTGTTCGTCACAGAGTACATTATATATAGGGAAGTGTTCGTCGCACGACCGAAGCAAGTAGGTGTATTTATGTATGTTTTTACATTTAATCTTGTAGGTGTATAGCTTTTCGTAACCTTTCATCTTATTTTATTTAATAATTCGTCGAAAGAATTTACATACATAAATATTTAAAAAATATCTCTGGATAGATAGATCTTCTTACATAGTATTGAATATATTGCAAGCTTAGGGTGATAAGAGGATGCACCTAGTAAGAATGATACAGCAACAATGGAATCGCAATTAGAAAATCGTCGTCATTATTCGCTAACAGAATGTCTAGACTCAATGGCTAACGTCTCTCAACTGACCCTTGTTATTCCGAACGGAAAAAAAGTGTGTGTGTGATGTATTCACGGAATTCCGTATGTATGTGGCGGGCCTAAGAGGCTTATTTACCAACGTGATTATGTCGCCCCGTTTAGAGTATACAAGATAATTATATTATATAATGATTTCTTATATTTACACTACACACACATTCAACACTACACATTAAATAATACTGCTTTTACGGATTCGGATACGGATTCATCATCATTACAGCCTTTCATAAGTCAACTGCTGAACATAGGCCTCCGCCAAGGAATGCCACAAAGCACGGTCCTGAGCCACCTGCATCCATCGACTTCCTGCATGTCTTACCAGGTCGTCACTCCATCTCGTGGGGGGCCGCCCTACACTTCGCCTACCGGTACGAGGCTGCCACTCAAGAACCTTTCTTCCCCATCGGTTGTCGGTTCTTCGAGCTATATGGCCGGCCCACTGCCACTTCAGCTTACTAATCCGTTGGGCTATGTCGGTTACTCTGGTTCTACTGCGGATATACTCATTTTTAAGTTTATCACGCAGAGAAACCTCGAGCATAGCCCTCTCCATAGCTCGCTGAGCGACCTTGAGCTTCCTCATACGGCCAGCAGTGAAGGACCACGTCTCAGGTCCGTAAGTCATCACTGGCAACACGCACTGGTTGTACAATTTCGTTTTGAGGTATGTCTGACGAGAAGATGTGTCGTAGTTTCCAGAACGCTGCCCAGCCGAGTTGAATCCGTCGATTGACCTCTCGGTCGAAGTTTGGCAAATTGTACTCTGCGGACTTCTGTACAATTTGCCGAAGGGTATGTAAGTGGTCTATGGTGCTAAGCCCTTTCGGAAACCGACTTGTTCGGGAGGCTGGAAGTCGTCAAGTCTGCGCGCGAGACGATTCGTAATGACTCTCGAAAACAGCACGTAGACGCGGCTCAGAAGGGAAATCGGTCTGTATTTCTTCAAAAGAGTGTTGTCACCTTTCTCGAAGAACAAGACCACCGCACTTCTCCTCCACGCCTCCGGTGTAATGCCACCATAGAGGACGGAATTAAAGAGCTTCTAAAGGACTTCAAGTACCGGTCTTCCACCCGCTTTCAGAAGCTCCGCTGTAATTCCATCCTCGCCTGGGGCCTTGCCGTTTTTAAGGTGTAGGAGAGCCATTCTAATCTCGCGGAGACTCACGTCCGGGATATCTTCGGAATAGTGTCGGATAAGACTCGCTCTTAGATCGTTACTCACACTTGCGTGTGGCTCCTACGATGACGTGTACAGCTGCCCATAGAACCTCTCAATCTCACTCAAAATCTCAGGTGCCTCGAAAACGTTGCTGCCATACTCGGTCTTCAGCTTTGACAGTTGGCTCTTTCTGGCAGACAGACCTCTGGCAAAGACTTTGGAGTCTTGGTTCCGCTCGATCGCTTCTTTAATACAAGCTGTATTGAAGTTGCGTAAGTCCCGCCGCATGCATTTGGAGATCTGTCTGTTCAGTTGCCTGTATGCTGTCAAATCTGTTGAAGAATGTAGCTTCATCTCCCGTCTAACAGCCTAAGATTGAGAGTGTGATCGGAGAGTTTTTGTGTTCTTCTGCGGCGGGTCTTGCAGAACTTTGCTCCGACCACATGGACAGTTTCCACGAGCTTGTCATTCATATCGTCCACTTTATTGCAGTCTTCTAGGCATTGAAAACGGTTTTGTAACTCTAGCTGAAAGGTTTCGGGACTTTGGAACAGAGCACGAGGGGGACGGAGCGTCGACTTCATTAGACGAGACCTCTCCAACTTAACGTTTAGGTTCAGTGTGCCTCTAACCATTCGGTGATCGCTACCAGTTTTCACCCTCGCGATCACGGAGACATCACTGAACAGTTGTCGTCTGGTCGTCATAATGAAGTCAATCTCATGTTTTGTCGAACCGTCGGGGCTCGTACAGGTCCACTTCCTGTGGGGCCGCCTCTTCATGGAGAAAGAGTCCCTCTTTCTCCATGAAGTCGGCCAGCTGCTGGCCCCTTGGGTTCTGTTGCCCTATTCCAAATTTCCCTACTTTCAACTCACCGTTCTCCATTAACACCGTATATTGGGTTTTGGAGGAATGCATGGCTCTAGAGATATCCTCTTACATTTCCTCCACCTCCTCATCGGGGTATGCCGAGGTTGGTGCGTAAACCTGTATGACCTTCAACGAATACCGTTTGGTGATTCTGAGTATAAGGTACGCAACCCTCGTCGACACACTCTCAATCTTTACAACGTTGTTAACGAGAGACTTGTGGACGATAAATCCGACACCTCCTTGGGACAGATGGTCGCCCTCCCGGTGATAGAGCAAGTTGCCGGATTCGAGGATTACCGTGTCCTCCCCCTCTCTTCGGACTTCGGATAATCCTATAATATGCCAGCGTAACTTGTCTATCTCTTCTTCCAGCTCCACGATCTTCTCGTCAGTCCTCAGGATGCGTGCGTTGTATGTTGCCAGGTCGAGTCGTCTTAGGTGGCAACCGAACCTCCACCGGAGATTCTTAGCACCCCCTGTCCCGCCGTTACCATGGTCGCCACCGTAGCCAGGAATAGCGGGGCCGCCGGGGACTGGGGGCCGTCTCTTCGTAACTTTCATCATGGTGGGGTATATTGCCATAGTTGCCACGCTTGGCGAGCGGGTTGGCAACCGCAGCTTTTTATTGTTTTTTTGCTGTCACCAGGAAGATGCTGCTACCCATCTCCTGCCTGTTTCCCTTTGTCGCCTTTTACGACACCCACGGGAAGATATGGGGTAGTGGATATTCTTAACCGCCACTACACGCCAATATGGATTCTATCGCGTTTAATTAACTTCTTTTTTTTTATTAATTCCCGTCGTCGTTTTTCTATACACAGTGTGACCTATGGTCTTGTTATGCCTCCTCTACACTACTCACGAAGTAACTTTGACGAAGTGCTCGTCGAAGTCCGTGAACCGTCCGAAGAACGTGACCACACACTGTGCTACATCACGAAGAACTCAGTTTTCTGGAGACTCCCGCACCATTAACGTTCAAGAGGCAGCTGCTATAGGTACCTAATTGTGTGAACAGTACAAAGTTAATGCGTTACCTAAATAAACAATTATGTAGAAAGCTACATATTTAATATTTATATATAAAAGAAAACTGTTTATAACTGGCATAAACCGAGTAGTGTAGTGAGACGCTTCGTGTACCTTCAGGGTAGTATAGAGGATATCTAATGTTATACATTAGATTTGATAACCACAAATTCTCGCGAAAGAGCATCGATTCCTGCCAAGAATTATATGTGAGGCTATTGAAATTAAAAAACATCCTAATTTCAATAGAGAGGGAGGCTGGGTACTACCACCTGCTTGGGATAATTAATAAAATTAAAACTAAACCCAAGCAGTAAGTTCATTTTGCGTAGATCGGACCAAAATTAATAATTAAAAAAGCTGTAGGTGCTCTGGGTTAACTCTGACATTGGGACATCAATCACCTCGGTCCCCATTGACCATGGGTGCTGTAAAGTACCCGAAACGTCGAGAATTAATAAAAAATAAGTTAATTAAATGCGATAGAATCCGTAAAAGTAGTTTTACCAATTATATTATACTTACAACCTAGACGAACCTAATCTATTTAACAATCTTGCTTGGTTGGGCAAGGGCTTCTCTAAAATAATATTCCAGATTAAAAAAAACCTTATCAATTTCTTTCAGACGAGGCCCTTACGTGCAACGTGTGCGACCGGTCGTTCTCCACACGACGTCAACTTAGCGACCACCAACAGAAGAAGCGGCACTTTGGGTAAATGTTAACAAAATTTTTCTTTACAAAATATTTATTTCTGATACTAAGGCGAAGTTGATTTTTGGCCCACTTTGACCACTATGACTTTGATCGACCGCACAAATGTGATTATGCCATATAAGTCTACTCTACAATCCGTAAAAGTAGATACTATTAATTAATATACTCCTCCTAACGGACTGGAGAACTTTATTAACGCTTATGTATTATGAACGGAAGCTAGGATTTTTTATAGAAGTGTCAAACGAGCAAACAGTCCACGTGACGGTAAGTAAATGCTATGGCCCAGACACCTACATTGATCCTACATTAAGAAACGATTAGTAGATGCGTCGTCACTCCTGACGACTAAGATGGAATGCCTCGTTATCAATATTAAAAAAGGTCTCCGGTTCTCCGAAGTTTGAATGGGTCGATTCGATCGGGGAAGGACTACGCTCTTATAGAATACCACCGTCAAATAGCAACATAATGCTGTTATGTTTCGTACTTTCGTATGAGTGTAGTTATCTGGAGACCCTTTTCACTTCACACAAATTTTGTTAGTTGTTTTCTTGTTAATTTTTAGCTTTAGGTAATATATGTCCGTCCGTGAAGTCAATATTGGGCTCTATTTGTAAATTCAGCGCTGCTGTCATTTAGTACAACAGCAGTTAGCTGTTACTTCACATAAATTTTCTTTATTATATTTATATCTCGTGTTATTTTTTTCTTCTTTGTAATGTTAAATAGTATTTTTTCTTTCTTTCTGTGTGCTCCTTTGTTCGTTCGTTTTATCATATCACGAGTCCACCGCTGAACATAACCTCCCCATCCCCCATAGATTGCCACAAAGCACCATCTAGAGCCATACGCATCCATCGAGTACCTGCGCTTTTAATCAGGTGATCCCTGCATCTATGTCTTGCGTATGTGAAATATGAGGCCTTCAATTCAGCCAAAATTTGGGGTCGATATATCGAGGCGTAGTAACATTATTTAATCTGTGGTCGAGGTACTGAAGTCTATAGTAATACTACGATGTCTATCTCAGTACTATACCAGAGCACGGTTCACTCTAACTCACTATAAAAAAGGAAGTGAAAATTTCCTGGTTTTTCCGTAGTGGCTATTACAACAAACCATGCAACGTAAAGCCTGTCTGAACGTACGGCACACTCCGAACTCACAAACAAGTTGACTATATACTTTCGTTATCATTTCCAGATGCAGTTCCTGCGACAGTCTGTTTCCTTCATTAATGGCCCTGGAACACCACAAAGAGGAGTTCCAGCACTGGAGCGACTCCTCATACTGCTCGCATTCGGACAGTGAAGACAGTGACGAGTGTCACGAGGACCGCCACCGATTACTCTAATGCCACCATCTCATTATTGCCGGGGACAAGCCAACCAAACTTGGGACGTTCGTATGAAGACTTCCTGAGAATTTAGGGACCTGTTTTGGCTTTATTATGGACATAAGCGAAGTCACAGCATAAGTGGCTTTAAGGTTATATTATCATTCAGGAAAGCAACAATGTTGTATTGTGAAAAATACATATTTTATACATGTAGATACATATCATGAAATTTCCTGTATCTGATGTTATGCAATTGTAAACCTCTTTACCTAAATGTCGAAATAATTTACGTTAAAAATTTCGTAATGTACTAGCTGATCCGGCAGACGTGTTTCTGCCCGTTCCGGTAGTGTTCATTAAACATCGATTGATCAAGTATTCGATAGTAATCGATAGTTTCTTATAAGAACATCGATATATCGATAGACTATCGATTGCCTTTGAGCAGGTATCACAAATAAAAATAACAGTAAGTAATTATTGTACTTTTTTATTTGCTCGTCTTTGAGAAATACGCAATTTGTCACTGGCTAGTGTAGAACTGTGAAGGAAATTCACTATCGCCTTTGTCTTCAGCAACTGATTTCTATTAAAATAATTCTAAAAAGAACTTCTACATTTTTTTGGTTGCACTTCATCTTGAACTTGATGTACAGACGCTGATTCCTCTTCCGATTATAACATATCTATTTTGTCGGCATGCCTTCTTTTCAAGCGATCTCTTAGATTGTTCGTATTTCCTAAATGCTTATATTCCTGATTATAAAAGTTACACTTTATAAACGGACTATTACTGTCCACTATCTAAAAATAACTCCACGGTAATCATTGATTTTTAGGATGAATTTTCGATTCATTATAAAGTCAAACCAGTAATCTATAAAACGCAAGATCAACTGTGCGTTCTGGCACTTACACAAATAGCGACAAGCTTACGTCAGCATCACACATATTAATTAGCTATTCATACCCAGTTTATTTACAGGGATTTCTCTGACCTTAGACTAAAGGGAGACATCTACTATAGACAAAAATTACGATAAGGATGGCAATGGATAGTTTAACCAGACTATCGATAGAATCGATAGTGCAAACACTATCGATAGAATCGATAGTGCAAACACTATCGATAGAATCGATAGTGCAAACACTATCGATTAATCGATAGTCTATCTATGTTTAAGGAACACTACGTTCCGGTAGGTGGTGCGATGATTTTCAGAGAAAATTTGTTAATAGCAGGGCTCGGAAACGTTATTAAAAATAACGTTTTTAAAACGTTTGGGACGGTTCCTTGTACTCGTATAACATTTTGTTCGGAACAAAAACGAAATGAGAACACAATGTGAAAACGTAAAAAACGGTTTATTCCGCAGGAAGCTAAATAAATGGCACGTGCCACGACAAATTTAAACTTATAAGGTATTTTTTTTTCGTATTACAGTGCCAAAAATGGGAAAAAACTGTTTAAAATGGTTAAAAACGTTTTAATGAACAAGAACGATTTAAAATTTCGTTCTCTTCATAAACGTTTTTGAATGATTCCGTTCGAACATAAACGAAACAAATAAGTTTTTAGGTATTTAAGGCGAAAACGTTTCGAAAAATATACCGTTATCCGAGCCCTGGTTAATAACTTGACTACAGCGGCACCTATTGGGTCCTAGCATAAAATGAATGGTCTCGTCAAGGCGTTCAGAAGTTAGGTTCACGATCGCTGACAGACACCTTAAAGATATATACAGTCTCTTATTTTTCATTTGTCTATAAAATTTGATTTGTGTCTATTGAAATTTGTCGAAAAGTTCTAATGAATTAAGAAAGATAAAGGTATCTGATGTTCTTCTGACAAAATTAGAACCTTGTTGTAAGCAAGAATTGTGTACGTATTTTTTTTACGTACGTACTGTTAGGCAGTAATGTATTTAAAATAAAGCAAATTTGGATATGGCCTAGGACGTTTTTGTGCGGCAGAAGGATTATTCCCACAATTAATAGATTAAAAAATCCTTATTGTACTGTGATGAAACAGGAAAGATTCGATACGTTATCACTATTCATTACTTTGCATTGAAAGTGATTTGCTACGTGAAATCACTTTTACAATAGGGTTTTATTCGCTAATAAAAAGTCAAGGAAACAGTATTTCAGTTTCAGCCATTAAAGTATACCTAATTTAAAAATTGTAACTATTTTACTTTAAATAAAAAGCCCATATAAAATTAAAATCTAGGGCATCATTTGCTATAAAAACCTAGGGCACCAAAAAGTTAAATCCGCCGCTGATATTAAGTAACAATAAACGTTCACATGTCTAGACCCGAAGTCCGGCTGGAATTCGATCAGGCTCGAACCCGCGGTATAGTAATGAGGTGTGGACATTAACCATAGTCATACAGTAGTCCAAGTTAAATGTCCAATTCAATCAAGATTAAACCAAATGGCTTTTTACCGTAAGGAAAAAATAGGGCATAATAGAACGAAGTAAAGGCTATTTCATATTTTTCAAATTTATTTTGTTTTATGTACTTACTTTTCATTTTGAAAAAAGTGAAAATAAAATTCAAATTGTGGGCACCCTACTTTACGCCTTTGTGTATGAGTTTGTAAAGCCTTTGACCTTGAAACGGCCGCTAGAATAAAGTAAGGTATGTAACTACTTCAAAATACATAACATAGAACATACCATATTATTGATACTCTGAAAATAATATTTATTGATGCATCGATGTGATAAAATGTCTATGCAATAAACTTCTACTTTGTAAAATCTGGCTGATTTCGACTGTGGTGGTGACACCTTACAGTCGAATTTCTGCGCGTAAACAAAATCACTAAGCTCTTAATTGACCATACAGTAATCATTAAAGCCTCTGTTACATATTCAAACGCCAAATATTTTCATTTCACAAAAGGCGCAAAACAGCCTTTGAGTAATCTATCTACAGGATGCATTTTGGAGTGTGCGCAGGACTGGCATAACTTAATTCCTTCCTCTCCATTTCACCATCGGACAGCCAGACGCTCGGCTAGTCTCCAATCTTCCATTGTCGACTTACCACGCATTAGAACTAGGTGTAAGGGAAAAAATGTATCGATATTTTTAAACGATACATTTTGTCCCTTATCTATTATCGAGTGATAAATATTGATATATCGTCATCGTTTGCAGGATGTAAAGATAAGCTCCAAAATTTTATATTACTGCCGGTTGGACGACGAAAAAAGAACGTCACCCAACCACATATGAATACTTTTGTACCTCCTTTTGTTGTTACATGTTTTGTCATTACATTTACATTTTAAAATTTCGACGATATATTTTTATTAAAAAATATCGTTTTTCGATATAACGATATTTTTTGCCCACGCCTAAGTAATTCGAACTAAACAGTTTGCTTCTTCGTACGATAATGGCGATAGTGATTCAAGCCGAGGTTCGTACCTCCTTCTGAGGGGCCCTTGAATCGCATCGAGCCCCCCCCCCTTCCAGCTCGAGGAGCCTCACTCCGAAAGCAGGGGTCGGGGTGCCTCGGGACTGCCGGCAGAATCGTTGCATTCAATAGTTCGTAAGTCCTCACTTACGAGCCTAATTAGATGAAGCTCTCAAGGCCGCAGGGCCAACAGCATACACATTCAGAAAAATAAATCGTTCGATATGCGTACAGCAGAGGAATAAGTTGTCAGCATTTGTCTTTCGATGAAATTACAATGTGGCTCTTCAAGGCAAGAGTGAATAGGCTTTTGTTGTCAGTCCACGTTATCTTCGGCTGCATCACCACTTACCATCAGGTGGGATAGTAGTCAAAAGCGCATACTGAGAATAGTAAAATTGTTTCAGTTAACTGAACGAGCTAATACTCAATAATTTGAAGTGTTGATTTTTATGATATTAAACGTGCATCTGTCCTTTTTAACCGACTTCAAAAAGGACGATCTCATTTTGTTTTTGTATGTATGTTACGCGATATCTTCGCAAATTGTGAACCAATTTTGATGATTCTTTTTTTCTACAGACTTCAAACAAGGGGAGGTTGAGTACCTTCGACTGTTTTTATGTGTGTTACCTCATAACTTTTGTGAACCGATTTCGATGATTCCTTTTTTATTTCAAAGCTGGTGCTGCACATGTGGTCTCATTCTGACCAAATAGCTTTTGAGTTATTCTTAATAATTTATAATAGTCGGTTGCATAATTTTTTTAATTTTAAATTATGTTAAATACTTTATATGTACTTCAAGGGTGGTTCCATATAAATTTGGAGAACAAATTCAACCTTAAGGGTAGCAAGTAAATAACTTTTTTTATAGCAATTTGAAGTCGGTATTTTACTTTTTGTTACGTAATTATTATTATAAAATGCGTCGTAGTTGTTTGTTGATACTATCCTTGTTAGTCCTAATATCCTCTTTGTTGATATTTTGTTTAATAAAAAAAATTAATATTTTTATTAAATAAAAATTCATGTATTTAATTTAACTTACAAGACTGTTTTGTTACACTTAGTCTGAGAGCTGGCGACGAATTTTGGGAAGGTCCTTATGGCAAGTTGAAATTGTGAAAAAGAATATAATTTCGTCAATTGGCGAATTCAGCCCCGCGAGTCTGGCAGAGCGTTTGCATAGCTATATTTAGCTATACAAATTATTACAGCACTAATCTAAAATAATTCAAACTATATAAACAGATATTTACATGGTCATATATGCGCATAAGTCCGAAATGATCCCAACCTAGTCTCATAAAAATCATCTCCATCACAGCTGAAAATATCTTTGGCGAAATAGGGTCACCTTGACGGTCGCCTCTTCCAATTGGGAACTCGTCGCCTGTTATTTCCAATTTTATTTTTGCTGTACTTCCCCCATAAATGTTCTGTAGTATTCGTACGTACTTTCTATGGACGCCTTGTCGCTCTAATGATTCCCATATATAGTGAGGTTCCAAAGAATCAAAAGCTTTGTTGAAGTCTACGAAACCCACATAGTATATTTTATTGTATTCTCTGTATTTC